ACTAGTGAGGTTGCTGGCAGGCAATCATGGAGGATGTGACAGAGTGTCTGCCAATGCTGATCTAATTAAATCATCAGATCGCTAGTCCTTCCTGTTTCTCTACCTTGGCACCCATGATACTGACAAGAAGGACCTTTAATGGATAACTGCAGACTATGTGGCTCTGGGGAGAAGGATAAGGAAGTTTGAGGCGCAAGTCATGTTCTTGTCCATCCTCTTTGTTGAAGGAATAGGTCTAGGTAGGAACCATTGAGTTATGGAGGTAAATGTGTGGTTGCGTAGGTGGTGTCAGAGAGAGGGCTTTGGATTCTTTGACCATGGAATGTTGTTCCAGGAACAAAGATTGAAAGGAAGAGATGGGATCCACCTAACAAAGAGGGAAAAGCATCTTTGCAGTCAGGCTTGCTAACCTAATGAGGAGGGCTTTCAGCTAGGTTATCCAGTGGATGGTGATCTACGACCTGCAGTAAGTAGGGAAGTGGAACATGGGGAGGAAACACAAGGAGGAGGGTGCAACAGAGGAAGCCTGCTGATCCATACTGAGAAAGTAGGGCAATCGGCTAGTTAACTTCGGTGTCTGTACATAGATGCAAGAAGCCAGGGAAACAAAAGGAAGCATTGGAAGTGCTAGCACAGTCAAGGAACTATAATGTGATTGGAATAACAGACTTGATTGGATGACTCAGGTTACTGGAGCACTGTCATGGATGGGTATAAAGTAGGGGTCATGCTCCTCTTGACCTACTGCTCACAAACAGGGATGAATTGCTTAGGGAAGTAGAAGTAGGTGGCAACTTGGTCAGCAGTGGTCATGAGCTTCTGATAAAAGGAAGAAAGGAGAGTAGCAGGATATGGTCCTGGACTTCAGAAAAGCAGACTTTGACTCCCTCAGGAAACTGATGGGCAGGATGCCCAGGGGCACTAATATGAAGGGACAGGAGTCCAGGAGAGTTGCTGTATTGTAAAGAAGCCTTATTAAGGACATGGGAACAAACATCCCAGTGTTCAGAAGGAATAGCAAATACGGCAGGAAAGCTGCCTGATTTAACAGAGATCTTCCGTGAGCTTAAACACATGAAGGTTACAAGATGTGGAAACTTGGACAGATGACTAGATATCTACATGATATAAAAAATTACACATCTGCATGCTTGAGAAATCAGGAAGGCCAAAGCACAACTGGAGTTGCTGCTAGCAAGGGATATAGAGGATAAGAAGGGTTTCTACAGGTATGTTAGCAACAAGGTCAGGGAAAGTGTGGGACCCTTAATAAATGGGGAAAGCAACCTACTGCCATGATGTGGAAAAAGCTGAAGTATTCAATGCTTTTTTTGGCTCAGTCTTCACAGACAAAGGTCAGCTCCTAGACTTCTACACTGGGCAGCATAAAAGGGAGAGGAGATGAGCAGCCCTCAGTAGTGAAAGAACATATTAAGGACTATTTAGAAACGGTGGACTTACACAAGTTCGTGGGGCTGGATCTAATGCATTTGAAGGCACTGAGGGTGTGTCTAGACTACAGGGTTTGGTCGACAAAAGTGGACTTTTGTCAACAAAACTATACCTGCGTCCACACTACCGCTGAGTTCTGTC